TTATTTATTTGAGATGATTATGAACTGTTCCCATGTTGGTATCAAAACTTTCTTGCAGGTATGTAGATTTTAATAAAATCAGCAATGCATTTGTGAGGAAATGTCAACCAGGAGCAGAGTCAACTAAAGAAGAATCCAAATCCAACTGTTGTACCTCTGAGCCACCCTTAAAGAAATCTAAGAAGAATAGAGGGCGTAATAAACACCGCCCTCGTGATTCACGTCCAGAACCAAAGGATAACATTTGCCAGTACATTGCTACTAGCAGGGATTGTCCATTTGCTGAAAGGTGTACATACTTGCATGATGTGAAAACATATCTAACAAATAAGCCTCCTGACATCAAAGAAACATGTTACAATTTTGAGACTTTTGGGAAATGCCCATTCGGAATTTCTTGTAGGTTTAGTGGGCAGCATACTAACAAAGATGGCACAAACATAATTGATGCGGAAAAATGCAACCGGAAGTCCGAGTCTGTTACTCGCAATATTTTGAACCAAAATTTGAAAGTAAAACTGCGAAAAAAACAATATAATTTTCCAAAATCCGAGGCATATTTGAATGATCTAAAATCAAAGAAAGGTAATCAACAAAGAGGAAATCTGGTATTTTTAGCTGAGAAGAAAGGCAATGAAAATGCTCAAGAGTGTTCTTCAGACCTTAAAAATAAAATTGTTAGTTCAAAGGAGGGAGAGTCATTTTTTGCTGCGAATCAACAAAGTTTAGATGCAACCGGCAACACACATGGAATTCTTGTTGAGGATGGAGTGACACCTGTACCTATACTAAAAAAGAAAATTGACTTTAGCAACAAGTTGTACCTTGCCCCGCTTACCACTGTAGGTAATTTTATCTCTTCTTAACATTAAGTTTGTCAACCATCAATGTATTAATTATTATATCCTTCCTCCTGTATTACCAGTTTATTGGGGAACTTTTTCAAAACAGTCATCTTTTAAGTTCTCCATTTATTGAACAATTTATCAATTGCATGCATGATATGCTAAAATGTGAGAAATGATTTTCCTATTGAGTCAAGGTTGGCCTCATAACTTAGTTCTTATAGTACCTGTATGCTGATCAGATATTCTTCTAATTGAAACCTGATATAGACAATATATTTTTCTCAAATCTGTCACTATTAATAGGCCTATTATATATCACTAATGAAGATACAGTATTCTTTTATAAATCAATACATATAAAATATTTTGATCATAATTATAATATATGCTCCCTACAAGCCCCCTTCCATGTTTTGTTTTATTTTCACCAGCAGGTAATAATACAATAATTTCTTCATTTCAGGTTGGAAACTTACCATTTCGCAGAGTATGTAAGCGGTTGGGTGCGGACATTACATGTGGTGAGATGGCCATGTGTACAAATCTACTCCAAGGTCACCCATCTGAATGGGCATTACTTAAACGACATTCTTGTGAGGATGCTTTTGGTGTCCAGGTGAGATAAACAATGTTAATATTATTAATAATAATAATAATAATAATAACTAGCACTAATTTGGACTTAAGGGAAATATCTTTTGTGTTATTTTCCCCTTAAAGTCATTTTCTAAATTTTTCTCTACTTCCTCCATTGTCTAATTTCCACTTAAGGTACAGTATGTTTTAGTAACATAATAATAATAATAATAATAATAATAATAATAATTTCACTAAATCGGACTTTAGGGGAATATCTTTTGTGTTATTTTCCCTTTAACGTTATGTTATTTTCCCCTTAGCGTCATTTTTTTTAATTGTTCTTTAATTTTTTTTTTCTAATAAAAATAAGAATACTATAATAGTTTCTTTGTCTCTACTTAAGAAAAAATATTTGGCCTTTTAGCATAGTAGAGAAAGCAAATGTTAATTTACAGTAAGATGCAATTAATGCACTTGTCTTGCTGCTCTATTCCATATTGGCTATTGTTTTACAATTATAATAACAGTTGAAACATTAAAAAAAGTGTTAAATATTAACTTAAATCCTGTGTATATTTTGTTTCAGATATGTGGGTCCTTTGCAGATACCATGTCAAAATGCACTGAAATGATAAATAATGAGACTGATGTTGATTTTATTGATATTAATGTGGGATGTCCAATTGATCTTGTTTTTAAGAAGGTAGTGTTTCTCTTAAAACATTTGCTAATGTGTCAGGAATGTGCAAAAACTATATTGTTTTTAATTTATTGATTGTCAATTATCTACAAGACTATCCAGGATTATTCTATAATATTCAACAACCCTGAATCTCATCATAATTTTATCATCGTCATCATGATTACTTGACATCTTGGTAGGTCTGGGTTCGTCTGGCTCCTTCATTACTAAAATAAAAAAAAAAACTATCCTGGCCATTCCAATTTGAAGTCCTAGATACGCCAATTTAACAATATCCATCCAAGCTGAGATACAACATCTTAATAATTACGTTAGAAATTAGGATCAATGGTTTGTCAGTGGAGAAAATGGCCTCCGCTTGAACGCATAGCAACGGAGTAGTATCATGTGGTATCATGACGTAACACACTAGTACTCTAAATAATTAATGTGTAATAATAAATATATTTACTTATTTTGTTGTGACAGGGTGCAGGTTCTGCGCTAATGTGTAGGATGACAAAATTTGAAGAGATTGTCCGTGGAATGGTTAAAGTAAGTTGTAATAACCGATATGTTGGTAATGTTGCATTTACCTTTTAGAGGCCAATCACATTTAATAGTTATGTCGGCTCAGGACCACCTCAGGGTCAGTTTTTTTAAGTCTGAACAATGAATAAATTTGAAGCCGGCCTAAATTTGAACGGTGTTAAAGCGGGCTCAGGTCCAGCAATGCGAGACCTAGACTGATGACTAATCTTCATACCTGAACGTAAAGCAAACCAGGGACTCCAAGTTTCCCTTAATAGCGGTCAATTCAAGGAATAAGGAATATTTATTGTCAAATATAACATGATACAGTTGAAATTTGGATCCAGGTTCTTAAACAACTGGTTGAATTGTATGCATATAGACAGAAATTTAAAATATATTTAGTGTCATATTATAGACATTAAACTTACAATATTGTAAGTTTAATGTCTGTTAATATGACACTAAATATATTTTTATATTGATATACAACGAACAAAACAAAATGTAGTGTAATGAGTAATGTATAATTATAGATAAAACAATTTAGAAATAACTGAAAAAGTTGATTATTGCAAGAAGGATGTTGCAAACTGACATATTGAATATAATTCTAACATCTTCAAACATTTCAAGCAAAAACCCAGCACAAAGGAAAAAGCGTTGCGACCCTGAGCCAACTTTAAATACTAACTGAGAACAGAACGGTAATTTTGGGGCAGTTGCATTTAAGGTGGCCCTGGGCCAATATTACAGCAAGAATATTTGTGCTCTTAAACATATCCCCAAAAGCTTTGGTTGTTTGATTGCTTTTTTCAATTCTATCTACTGTATTTTATCACATTTTGTTTTGCAAATGTATGCATTTTTTTTCTATATTAACTTAACTGTATACTATGTTTGACAACAATTGTTGAAAACAATACCAAAGTAAAAGTTTCTGCCATTTCTATTTCATTATTACATTTGTTGATTGTAATCTGTAGAGGGTGCTTTTTCACAGGTATCTGATGTACCTATTACAGTAAAGATGAGGGCTGGCATTGATGATAAACACTTTACAGCCCATAAAATAATACCAAAAGTATTGGATTGGGGTGCTTCTCTTGTTACGGTAAGGTACCAAATAGGCAATGTATTTACAGATTTATTTGGGCAAAGTATCAAGGCACCAAATATATAAAGTTCAGTAGTAATAAAACTAAAATGATAATATTTAGGTTAATGAAATTGTGTTGGTAAAGCACAGTTTAAAAATCATGGTCAGTTGATGGAGTTTTACATTAGTATATTATACTGGTACTTTTCAACCATACCTCATTCTTTTAATATTTGTTGGTAACATGTTAACCACACGGATAAAATCAATTTTTAAGGTACAAATATAAATGTTTATAATGATTTTTGTTTTAAATGTAGCGCTTAACCAATACACATTTTGAACTTAATATTTGAATAGTAAAATATAATGAATAATATGGAATCTTAGATTGCCTATATTAACCAGAGTGATAACTACGGTAAAGGTAGGTGAATAACCCATAACTCGCAGCGCTATTGTGCTCAGGGGCGGATCCAGAGATATCCGAAAGGGGGAGGGGCGAAATTTGGGCCGATCGAGACAACACTGAAATAGGAGGTCCGGGGGAATTCCCCCGCAAAATTTCTGTGTTTTAATTCAATAACATTTGAGGCGTTCTGAGCTATCGTTTTTTCTTTTTCTTTTTTTTTACCTCTCAAAAGGGAGAGCCGGGTCCGGGCCACGCCACCCCCCCCCCCCTTAAATCCGCTCCTGGTGCTGAATTGTGTATGGGTGTGGTCTGTGACTAAATAGCTGTTGTAAAGAGGTGCTTATAGTAGCTACATGTTCACGTCATTCCACACTGACGGGCTGAAATTAACCATAGCATCGGGGTAACCCCCTACTCTTCCGACAGATGCAATAGGTTCTTTAAAGTGCACACGAGCCAGATGTGTACACTGGACCTCCATTGTAAGTCCTTATCTGAGAAGACTAGGATCTACCAACTGAACCCTGGGCAAGGATCTGTAACTAGTGCCGATGTTAAGGCTGTAGTTATCCGCAGCCTTGCCTTGGCCAATTGCTTTGCCAGTATACTACAAGTGTTTAAATTTTCCAACATTAAAATAATATTTTTATATTTAAGTTTAGTACCAGTACCACATTTTACCTTTCAACTGTAATAATCTGTCTTCACTGTCTTTATTTTGTATGTTTTTCATGTAATTCTGTGTATTTTTAATGTTTCCCATAAGTTTTACTGATAAGACAATAAGGTCACCTGTTAACTAGTAATTAAAAAATATTATTTCACCATTGTTTTACTTTCATGGTCAAAACCACTCAGAGTCATAAAATTAAAATGAGGGCAAGTTGTTTCCTAATTAAATCTTCTTTAAAAAGAATTAGAAAATCTTTTTAAGAACGACCTCAGGAGCTTTAATAAAAACGCATGTACCATTCTTATTTTAAAACATGATATTTTATTATCAGGCAGCCTTCTAACAGTCATTCAACCAATCTATTTATTACAGGTTCATGGTAGAACTCGGGAACAACGGTACACAAGGGCAGCAGATTGGGACTACCTTGAGCAATGTGCCACAACATGCGGTACCTACCCATTTCTTGGTAAAGAACGAAATAACGTTGAGTTATTCATTAAATGTGTTATTTGTATCCATTGAAATAAACATTCCCATTTCGAAGGTGCTCATTATTGCATTCAAAGTACTTCCATCAAATTTTATGAAATGCATAATTATTCCAAAATTTGATGAGTGAAAGTTATCAGAAAAGTGTCCCTACTAATAAATTAATTCAGAATATTAATAGGAATGTTTGTAGAATTAATGAATTAATAAACATTTTTTTAAGTTTTCAGGGTTTTAGTGTTTTCATCTAAATTTTTGTATATAATACATAAAAACCAGTTTTTATAATAGATTATCAGAAAATAATTGTTAATAATAATAGATACAGTAGGAGGATAGTACTTTTTAAAATTTGTTTATACCTTATAATTGTTTTCTATTTGGCGTAGGAAATGGTGATATTTTCTCATTTGAGGATATAAACAAACATAAGGATCGATCAGGTATTGCAGGCACTATGATTGCTAGAGGCGCCCTCATCAAGCCCTGGATCTTCACAGAGGCCAAAGAACAAAGGTGATTAATTAGAGCAAGATTGAAACCTAATGTAGTCTTGTACAACATCTTCTTACTGCATATTATGGAGTCATTTGGGCAATGATGGATCAAGCCCCCCTCAGACAGGTCAATTTTGTCCCTGCCTCTTCAGTCATTTCAAACTCAATTTAATGGGCATTAATAATAATAATAATATTTAATTATATAGCGCAAAATGCTGGATCTTCAAAGTGCTTAACATTAAATATTTAGAAAAAATGTGGCGTCTCACCACAAATGAGTCTCATGATTAGAAAATCAAAAAATGGCTTCAATATGATAAGCAGATCTAAAGATGTGGGCATTCAAATTTTAGGTGTATGAGAACCATGTTTTGAGAAAATTGCCCTTGGAGACAAAATAACATGTACAAATAATAGGACTAGAATTACAGAATATGCACAGAGAACACTGTTTTAGTAAGAAAAGTCACTTAAAAAGTGTACAATCATAAAATATAAGTATCAAGTTATTAAAAAACATTAAAATTAAAATATAAAAAAAATTATTCTTTGACCTATTTTGGTGAATATCTCAATACGATTTCACCAATGATGCATCTCATTTCGTGGTGAGACCTCACAAATAAGAATTTACCCCCCACTGAAAACTTAACTCATAACCCAAATAAACATGCTTGCAAACACAAAACATTTTTCCTTTTTAAATTGAAAATAAGCAGTAAAAATATATAAATAGGAAAAGGCAAATTTGTACAAAAACTCTAGGCGGTCTCCGTTCACAACCATTCTGGCGCAGTCCGGGACCTCTGCCTAGATGGCTCAAACAAAGGAACCGAACTCGATACACATTTGTCTTGTAATAGACGAACAGGTGCTCAGAAACATCCATTGAGACAGGGCCACCTAGAGATAAGTGCAAGCCTGACCAAGGGGAAAAAATAATAACATTGATTAAAGAATACCATATTCTACAGCAAAAGGTAAGTCTTAATAATGTGTTTTTTGATAATTTAAATGGGGTCAATTTGTCTAATGAATCTCTGGAATACTATTCCAGAGATGTGGTGCTGATTGAGAAAAAGCTTGGTCACCGTATGACTTTGTAGACCTGCTGTGAGTATGAAGGAAAGCTTGTGATGAAGATCCGAGATGTCGAACAGGTTTATGTCTTGTGATTAGGTCCGATATATTAATGGGGGCTGTAGTCTTCAAAACTTGAAATGCAAAGAGTAATATTTTGAAATGAATCTCTGTTTTATTAGCAACCAATGTAGGTCTTTGAGAATAGGAGTGATGTGAAAAGTTTTTGCCCTTGTTATAAGTCGAGCTGGTGTATTTTGGACACATTGAAGTTTGTTATGTTTTTATAAAATGCTGCTGTTGATATCAACTATGTCCTGAATCTTTACATACTGTAGAACTGTGGTGTGAAGAAAAACTTTCATGAGTGATAAAGATAGTAGAAAAATATTTTCTAGAACAATAAACAAGATAGCTTTTAAAGATAAACATTTCAATGTTTTAGAAGAATAAAAGCATTTAGGATGCTATTTAGGCTGCTATAGTAAGATGCAAAGTTAATTAACCCACATGACCTACTTATGAGATGACCCATTGTAGGACAATGCACCCATTAACAACTCCAAGGTTCCTTTTATTTTACAGCTAGATTCATTTGACTTGTAGACCTCTATTTTTTATGTGATGGATTTAATTTCATGATTTGATTCCTATTCATATAATTTTATGGCTAAATTTTTAATAATGGTCAGAAGTGATCATGACTACATCATAGATGACTAATAGCCGGCAATAAAATCTCAGGTCATAAAGTTAGAATTATTTTTTTTTTAATCAACGTATCAAAGTCTTTAATATAACTTTAGAGTTTTGTTTTTTGGTTTTTTTTGTTTTTATTTCTTTAGGCACACAATACACGTGCCAAGGATTGTCCAGAGCGAATATATCACTATCCTACTTGTAGGTGACAATCCCTTACACAAGTCAAACATACACACACGATGCTTTTCACAAACTAAATCTCAATATAAGATTTAGGGAGTGCAGTTGTTTTGTCATGAGAAAAAATCCTGCAACTGGCAGGAATTGAACCCAGGACCCTGGGATTGGAAGGCAAGCATCTTAACCAACAAGCTATTCAACTCCACTCCGAGTTGAGAGTAAGTTTAATAAAGAAATGTTTCCAAAACAGTGTGGAAATCCTTACACATATACTGGTTATAAGAAGTTTAAATATGAAATATACTATTTTCAGATGGTAGGAATATTTTATTTTATTTTATTTTATATTATCCTATAGCCTTGAGATCATAAAGCAAAGTTAACAGAATAAAATAATACAGAGGCAGTTTATCTACTAACTGCATTCTTGTCCACCACTTTTCAAAAATGCTTACACAGTCCATCTACTTCTTTCCCGGCTTCACTTTTGATGTACTTCCCTTTTCTTACAGATATCTGATTATGGAATTCTCCAGCCAGTACACTGTGTTAACAAAAGCATGTTTGTTTAGAGTTTTTGAAGTACTGCAGCTGTATATTTGTACACTAACAAGCTACCCACATTATTTTAATATTCATAATTCTGTCATAATCCTCTTAATATCTTTCATGCTATAATTTATCTTGACCGTTAATCTTTTTTTTCTCCCTTTTACACGCGAACTTTAAAATGAGTGTTTCAGCATTTGTTTCTCTCCTCAGGGGCAAATCCAGCGAGGGGGCCATGAGGGCCTGTGCCCTCCAGTTAGTCAAGCTGAGAAATAAAAAATATGGAGAAAAATTTGAGTGAAGAAAAAAAAAAACATTTAAGCAATACTTATATGAATTAATAAAGTGTAGTATAGGTCTTCAGATGAATCAAACTATTTAGTCTTTTAAAGATATATGCCATGCATCTTTTTGCATAACTTTATTAGCGTTAAATGAAAAGTGCGGTTAGAAATAGTTTTCTCACTATTTAACAGTTATATTAATACCGTTCTGTTTTCTGGACTCTGAATTGTCTAGACATTACTTATTCTTTTTTCACGTGTTATCTCATGTGGTTTTATTGTATACATTTATCACTTTAATTTAATCTTCCCCATCCTACAGTGCTGTTTTGTCTTTAGCCATAAATGCTTTTTGCTAGATAATATGGAGATTGAAAACAGAATTTTCTGTTTTGAAATTAAAACCCCATAATAAATAGTGTCTAATTTGATTGACTTTTATTTGATTTGAAGAAAGAAGCTTGTTGAATTATAATGTTCTTTATATTGTTTGAAAGAGGCTTGTTAATTAAAATGTTCATTTTCATTTTCATATTTGTAATTCCAAGAATATTGTTATTAATTAACTAAATATATTAGATCTTTTTATATTATAGAAATGTGATTTATTTTTGTATTTATATTATATATATGTCACAAATATATAATTAACAAAATATGACCTGTCCCAGAAATATACAGTTACACTTCTACACTTTTTTTTTAAAGAAACTTGTGGAAATATATTTACAAAAATGTGTTTTAATTTTATACTTTATATTGCCCCAGAAATATGCATGCATATTCTCTTCCTTTTTAGTTCCTATGCATGTAATGCAATAGGAACTATTGTAATCACTCTTGCTATTTCCTATGTTTTTTAGAAAAGTGCGGTTAGAAATAGTTTTCTCACTATTTAACAGATATATTAATACCGTTCTGTTTTCTGGACTCTGAATTGTCTAGACATTACTTATTCTTTTTTCACGTGTTATCTCATGTGGTTTTATTGTATACATTTATCACTTTAATTTAATCTTCCCCATCCTACAGTGCTGTTTTGTCTTTAGCCATAAATGCTTTTTGCTAGATAATATGGAGATTGAAAACAGAATTTTCTGTTTTGAAATTAAAACCCCATAATAAATAGTGTCTAATTTGATTGACTTTTATTTGATTTGAAGAAAGAAGCTTGTTGAATTATAATGTTCTTTATATTGTTTGAAAGAGGCTTGTTGAATTAAAATGTTCATTTTCATTTTCATATTTGTAATTCCAAGAATATTGTTATTAATTAAATAAATATGGTAGATCTTTTTATATTATAGAAATGTGATTTATTTTTGTATTTATATTATATATATGTCACAAAAATATAATTAACAAAATATGACCTGTCCCAGAAATATACAGTTACACTTCTACACTTTTTTTTTTAAAGAAACTTGTGGAAATATATTTACAAAAATGTGTTTTAATTTTATACTTTATATTGCCCCAGAAATATGCATGCATATTCTCTTCCTTTTTAATATTTATTTTTTCCATTATGTGTTTACCGTGTTAACTGTTATGGTACATTACATGGAAAAAGAAGAAAGAGATTGGAAATAAACAAAGCTAGATTGAATCTTCTTCATACAACCTTAGCTCTTATATTATTGCAGACACTGGGACATTTCATCAAGTGAACGTTTCAGTATCCTTCAAGATTTTACCAACTTCGGCCTGGAGCATTGGGGCTCAGATCAACAAGTAGGTTCAACAAAAATCATACTAGGAACCACATCAAAGCAGAAAAAATAAAAAATGTAACTGATAAGGTCAGAGGGAGCATTGGTTTTTTTCCAAAGGGGTCCACAAAAAAATGAGCCCTCCTGAGTAGGTAAAGTGCTTTACCCAAGGACACAAGCAAAATTGAACATTGAAAGCCCAAACTCACCCTTGTGCCCAACACTGTCATCTGCTCCAAAATCACACTTAACTGTTTCTGTTGAAATTTGACCTACAGAGTGGTTCCCAAGACATTATTTGGGGTGATTGTTTTTTTGTTTGTTTTTTTTTTTTAGGTGCTATTTTTGATTGTTTTCTATAATTGCTGGGCCACATGCCTGGAACATAATGGGTGGTAAGCAAGTACTTTCTGTAATTCCTTTATAACAAAATTTCCATATTTATACTCTAGGGTGTTGATAAAACAAGACGATTTATGCTTGAGTGGCTGTCGTTTCTTTACCGTTACATTCCTGTTGGTATACTTGAACGTGTTCCTCAGCGTATCAATGAGCGACCACCACAATATTTTGGTCGGGATCATCTTGAAACCCTGATGGCTAGTCCAGATTGCAAAGACTGGATCAAGATAAGGTCAATATTATTTATATTTATTTCAATTTGAAAATGTGATTCTTAGATTTTCAACTATAAAGTATTACAGATTCCTCTTAAATGTTTATAGCATCTAAGATTTCTTTTAATGGGATATTTCACAATAATTCTGATTTGGTGGTTTTGTTTAGCATGCATTTATGCATTTTATGCCTGTTAATATTGTAATGGACTGTGGGCTGTGTGGATAATAATAATATTATTGTGAATCAGGGTTAGTTACAGATCAGAGTTGATGATATTTTTTCTCTGAAGCAAATTATGTAATTTTACCTTCTCAAATTCAAGCAGTTAGGTCTAAATTTGTTCTAAGGAGTGCCCCGATGGGGCTCTTATGGTCCCACCTGAACCCCGCTAACACTGCCACTGACCCAGACCAATTGAAACCTGTCTATCCTTTTTGTTTTCAGTGAGATGCTGCTTGGACCAGTACCAGACAGTTTTCAATTTTTACCGAAGCATAAAGCCAATTCCTACAGTATTGTATGATCAGGTCACCAATTTGCAGTGTTTGCACTATTGGGAATATATTATGGTAGAAAATACACCCAAATATGATGTACAATAAGATTGTTCATAAGGAATGATCTGCACTCATTTAAGAAACAACACTTTCATTTGTTTTAGTTGTGAAACCAATTTGATAGATTTTGTAATAATACCGTATAAGTTCCATTAAGTAAATTCTGAGTACAGATTGTACATTAGTTTTCCATACCAAATAAAATATCTTCATTGGTGGCTGCGATAGTAATAATATTGATAATACTATAAATATAGGACAATTTCTTTGTACATTACATTTTCCCCCCCTTTTTTTTAAAGCAAGAAATGAATTATTAGATTAAAGTGGATAAAATTATTTGATGAATGATAAAACTGAAAATAACAAATATGATAATGTAGCACTACAGTTGTGTGGTTAAGATGCATGCGTTCAATCTCAAGGCCATGTTTTAACCCTGTCAAACATGTCAGGATTTGTTTTCACAACCAGTAATAATGTATGTTTGCCATGCTTCATAATATTGTCTTTGGTAGAGCGACAGTTTCTTTGGCTGCATTATAATAGTCATTAAAAGTATATAAAAATAAATGTGATGTTTAACATAACTAGATCAGTTCAAGGCTTGCAGTCGTGGCTGATATTTTTTTTCTTTTGTATTAATGGTCTTTAATCAAATAAAATTGATGATGATGATTATGATGATGTATTTGTATTTATATAGTGTGTGTCATAATAACTACCTCCAGTCCTGTTACGCAAACTAAAACAGAAAAGAGGTGGGGAAGCACTTGGTAAACTCCCTCTTTGTCCACTTCTGGGCCTCCCACCGAGTTCTGCTGTCTGTTGATTTACAGTTCCATCTTGTTTATATTCACATTGGTGAGAGGAGTAAGTACAGTTGAAGTATGGTACTGTATTAGCAAAAAGATACATTCATCTATTCATAGTTGTTGTTTTTCAAATTCGCCATCTGCAATTTGTGGTAATGACATCAATTAAATATAATATTAGAACGAAAATGCATAAAAACATACTGTTGACATCTGGACCTAACTGATGTTAATAATACAGTATTCAAAATGCAGCGTTTTGAATATTATTAACTGATGTTAATAATATTCAAAACGCTGCATTCGGTTTAGATCTATCCATTGTAATGGCTGTGTGTTTCAATTGTCCATAATGTAAAGCACTGTTAAAGTATAATGATCTGATTAATTAGCCTAGATAAGGTGATAAACTAATGGTTTTTTTTATAGGGCCTAATGCTAAAATACACCCGAGAGTCCTTACACACCGTTTCATGCGTGCAGTAAAGAGTTTCCCACAACGTAATAATAGTAACAGTTAATTTGGCAGAAACGTAAGTATAGTATCTAAGTGCTACAACTTGATAATGTCTCTTTCCCACCAATGAAAATAACACACTTAATAATAGTTGGCATTTTCTAGTGGAGTATTAGCCTTTCTTATTGGTCACAGACCAATGTTTCTCTAAGGTATGGCGCCATTTTTAAAAGGAACAAATGATCATTAAGATAATTGACACTAAAATAGAAATAATGATAATATCCTACAACATTCATATAAATATGCATCAGGAATATTGTTGGAATAGGAGCGCTCACTGACACCAGTCTCCAATGCCCCCGTTTTAGTCTACTACTGGACCGGTAACTAAGCGAATCCCATTCAACCCCTGGGCGTTTGCGCAGGTACAACACCTTATGATATTTTGTCCTACATAAGCCATATAATACATAATGTCTCTAAATCCCACTTTTCATCAATATTACCAAGAAGTCATGGTTCATTAGATTGAACATAGGGCCTATGCTAGATGAAACTGAACAACCAATTCAGCAGTTAAAACTATGTTTATTTCAGACTTCGTGATTTGAAACTAGTTAAAGGAACCGATGGCAGACGCAAGGGGCCCACCTTCCCCCAGTGGAGATAAAAAGAAAATCATATTAAAATTTTAAGTCTGGAGAGTGTCATTTTCGGCGATCTAGAGGTGCCATAATCATAAATGTTCTTACCTCAGCCCCAACCATTGTGGGGCTGAAGCGGTATAAACCCTCCATCTGTAAAAGTCCCTCCCTGGGCTCCTATTTCAAATTCCTGAATCCGACACTGGGAACAAACAAAATGATTGAGGCAAATATTATTTTTTTCTCGACCATGATTTTGGGAAATCGAAAAGAGGCTGAGACGTTTATTTTCTTTTCTTTCTACAGAAGTTCACTACTACATAGTGATAGTTCCAAGGCAACCTAATCAAATGTAAACAAGTAACAAATTAGCATATTTATTCCAATAAAACGTACTACATACCATATGTTAAGTAATTATTATTATTATAGCTGTAAACCATATGAAATTATTTCACGATTTTTTTTTTTGAGTATTTTTCGTTATAGGATTTTATATTAGGCCTATTAGTAAATAAGATTTTCTGATTTATAATCTGCTGTTTTCTCTTGTCAAGCGCCTTAAGGTGTTTTTTGAAATGGATTTAGCCACTATAGAAAAATAAATTGAATATTGTCATCATCGTCATCATCATTATTGTTATCACTATTATCATCATCATCAACGTTATTAATACTAATAATAATTTATGATCATGTATTCAAGTAGATGCGCAACTCAATTTGGTTTTAATGCTAAATTAGCAAATATTATTCATTCTGGTGACGGGTGATCATCGTTATACTGCTATTCCAATGCCTAGTACAATCGACATTACTAACCTACAGTTATTTATTCGAATGATCAATAATGCGTAATGACTTCAGCGTAAATGTATTGAACCCATGGTTCTATTCAAGCCAATATGCAACGTTACAGTTGATGATTCTTTCGTTTAAACCTTGTTTGAGAGTCGATTAGCCTATCAACCGCGTCATCACATTTAAAGATGCTTTCCACGAGTTCTGAACCAGAGCACCATAACATTACAAAATCAATGCGTAGCCGACGATAGCCACGCAGAAGGAGAATAAATTACTGTATTTTAAAATGAGCCAAAAATTTTATTTGATTTTTATTGTTATTAATATATTTTTAACAACATTCAACAGAAAAACTACAGGGTACCTTAAACTCACAACATACACTCACAAATGAATTGAACATTCCAAATTTACATTTTTATAAAGCACAAAATAGGCATGAAGAAAAGACGTAATATTATACTCACAAATTATTAAACCAGTCAATATTTACATTCGTATAAAACACAAGTAGGCGCACCTACAGTAAAACTTCTAATAGGCCTAATAACTCTGCGTTACTATTCTTTGTTTTTTTTGTTTTTTTTAGTGTGGGTTACTAGGGTGTGGGTTAATGTTAGAGTATGGGACTATTAGAGATGTGGGTTACTATTACAAGCTTAATGTAGGCACTTGAAAATAGTTAAACCCCCATCCACCCCAGTTTCTCTCATCAGCAATTCATAGAAATAAATAACTACAGTACGAGTAAAAAAAAACTGTTGATTTATTGTTATAAAAAAGAGTCCGTGTGGGTTACTAGGGTGTGGGTTAATGTTAGAGTTTGGGACTATTAGAGTTGTGGGTTACTATTACAAGCTTAATGTAGGTACTTGAAAATAGTTAAACCCCCATCCACCCCCAGTTTCTCTCATCAGCAATTCATAGAAATAAATAACTACAGTACGAGTAAAAAAAAACTTTGTTGATTTATTGTTATAAAAAAGAGTCCGTGTGGGTTACTAGGGTGTGGGTTTATGTTAGAGTTTGGGACTATTAGAGTTGTGGGTTACTATTACAAGCTTAATGTAGGCACTTGAAAATAGTTAAACCCCCATCCACCCCCAGTTTCTCTCATCAGCAATTCATAGAAATAAATAACTACAGTACGAGTAAAAAAAAAACTTTGTTGATTTATTGTTATAAAAAAGAGTCCGGGAACATGTATTCGCGAGTTTTAGCAAATGTTACCGAAGAACAATCGAATAAATATTGGTCGATGAGCTCTGAAATATCCAAATCAGGTAATAAAAAAATAGGTACGATTTTTATCGCAAATGTTTTTTTTTTTTTTTTTGCAATATGACGCAAATGTTTTTTTTTTTTTTTTTTGCAATATGACGCATTATTATTTTTGATAATTTTCATGAAATGCACTCATGAGATAATACGTGTTTAATCAACAAATTGCTTTCAAAGCAGTCTTTTAACATCTGATTGTGAAATAAACACCGTGAGCGTACTCTTTCCTTGAGACGGATTGTACGCTATATAATACAAAATTGTTCAAATTATTCACCTTTAATTTGTATACGACAGCATTAGTTACATACAACCAATGAAACTCATTGAAGCACTAGTAAAGCGTCAAATTCCCAAAAGATTAGCAACTTTATTACCTAGTCGAACATTTTGATGACATGGGTTCAAAAACAGTTGAAAAACGTCGGAGTCCCATTATAAGTAGGACTGCATTCTGGGTTTAAGTTGACAACATTTTAAAGATGTCGTAATGGACTTTGCAATTCATCCAGTTGACTTTATGATGGTTTGTACTATATTTACCTAAAGTGTTTGCTAAATTAAGTTTGCGTTCGCATTAATTTACAATGCTACTTAAGATGTAATCATCCAGGGCTTTCCGTCATCATTGATGGCTGTGATAAATCACGTGGCACATGTGTAATTAGGTCTATACCAGGGACGGATCTGAGTTCAAATTTAGAGGGGAAGGAATCAGATGTTTCCAAAAAACCCTAAAATAAAGGGGGTCCGAGGGTCCTTCCCCAGGTAAATTTTGATTTCTAGATGGCGGGAAATGAGCTTTACCGACTTCTGAGGTGTCTTTTAATGAATTTAAAGTTCTTCAAAATTCAAGGTTTCCCACTCTTGAAAATGGTCAGGTAAACTTTATCATTCTTATTGTAATTAGGCCTATGTGTGTACACATAAAAAAAAAAGAGTAGACTTCTGAGGTGTCTTATTCCTTAGCGCTTAGAGACTTTTTGTATTTTGCGCTCTATAAATTAATAACCATTAACCATTAATGACTTTTAAGTTCTTCAAAATTCAAGGTTTCCCCTTCTTGAAATGATTCCAAGAATCGATGAACCCCAAAGAGAAATGGGAGTCCGAGTTCTCCATGGAATATTTTGATTTCCAGATGGCGGGAAATGAGCTTCCCCCATTTCTGATGTGTCTTTTAATGACTTTTATAAGTTCTTCAAAGTTCAAGGTTTTCCCCTCTTGAAAGCAGTCAGCAGGTAAATTTTTCTTATTTTTATTACAGTAAATAGGCCTATTATGTGTGTACCGGTATAAATACATACCGAAAAAAAATGTGTAATTGCATAGGCCTACGTATTATTTTTTCCATGAATCGATGAAATCCAAACAGAAAGGGGGGACCTCCCCTGGAAAATTTTGATTCCTAGATGGCGGGAAATGAGCTTTCCCGACTTCTAATTTTCCCATTGTAACAAAAACAATTTCAGCTCACGGGTCCTGCAAAGGTAGGTCTAGAATTTTTATTTATTTTTTTTTTGCCCAATGGGGGTCAGGAAGCCGACCCCCCCCCCCCAAACTCTCAGATCTGCCAATGTATATACGCACTTGCTAAAATATCAAACCAAACCAAGGATTAAGCAACTTTAATATCGGTTAACTTAACTTGATATTTAATACCAAGGAGTTGCCATTAGGGAGATTTAACGAGTTTCCTTTAAGATGTGCAGGTATATTTCAAGCCTAATTGATACAAAGGGTATTCTAAATATAGTATCTACCACTTTCTCATATTTCCTTAAATAAATTTTTATTTTTGACTTCCACGTATTCAATTACGTGTTAAAATAATGATGACGTCTTTAATTGTGTGTATAATCTCACATTACGGTACGTATTGTACGGTATTTAAAAAGACCACTTAAATGACGTATAAATACAGCTGGATTATAATAAATAAAGTATATACATTTTAAATTATAGGCTATATAATCCTTGTATTTTTATGTTATTATTAATGAAATTCACATTAGAAAAAAACGTGCTTTTAAATTCAACCCGGTCTTTGTTGGTCAGATTCTTCGTCACACATTTTATTAGGCCTACAATAGGCCTATAATTACACATCGGGTTTGTTGTATAGGCCCGTACAAAGATTGTTTGTACTGTGTCTAACTTAGTTCATCATCTTATGTGACCAAATTATTGTAGGTTGTCCATATTTTACTACAGACGTTATATAAACATTTATTTGTTTAGTTGGTTCCAAAATTGTGACATCACTGCTCTCATCACCCCGGTAACTATATAAAATACATTATCAGTATACAGGCCTGTAATTGTTAATGAAAAAAGTTGTTATTTATACTATCACCTATTTCCTATAATCACCTATTTCTTTGTAATCGAATTCGATTGGTCCAATCATCTGAGCTTGTGGGAAGTGATATGTAAGCCAATACGAACGGTGGACTAATAAATAGCGTACAACTAATTATTGGTCAGTGAGTATCTACCAATCGATAGGAATGGATAACTTGAGTACCACGAGTCAAAATTTCGTATCTACTGAAAATACAACTACGGGTAATGCAGGCTTACCCACAGAAAGTTGGATAGCTTTCGTTGGCTTATGGCTTGCTGCTCTAGTTACCATTATTGGCAATTCGATGGTTATTGCTTCGTTCATTATGTACCGAGACATCAGAAACAAAGTGTCGCATCTATTTCTGCTAAATCTAGCAATCAGTGACCTGGTAATCGGGCTGGTCAGCCTGCCTTTGGACAATATGTGGCGATGGAATGACAATATTTGGCCGTATGGTAGACTTGCATGTGTTATATGGACTACCATTGACTACTCTGCTACATCACAGTCGGCGTATAGTATTGTATTAATATCAGCCGATCGGTATTTTCTCAGCAACAAGGGACTTGGATACACATCGTTTCAGACTAAGTCACGGGCTCTTTGCCAGGTATGTTTGTCCTGGTTCATTTCCGTTGGATTCCATTTAGCTGCAGTAATTTGGTTCGAAATAATGCAGATGAATAGGGTTGATTATGACGAAGAGTGTGAAATGAATGCTTTACAATTCTTGCCGTATACAATCCTCGCCATGTTTGTCGAATTTCTTATTCCGCTTGGCATTGTAATTTTACTGTATGTATATATTTATTTAAACATTCGGACTCGTTCCAAAGAGCTTGTGACTAAAGTCAAGAGAAAACATGTAGATAAAGACGTCTCCAAAGACTCTGGTGTTTCCGGAGTTGATCCGTTACCAGGTACGCTTGTGGATACGAAGGTATGTCCACTTCCAACCAACCAAGAAAATACATTACCGACAAAAAAAGAAAGAGGTCGTCGATCAGAAACGAAAAGCAAACACTTGCAAGCTGCTAAAATGCTTTCCATCTTAGTGGGGATTTTCATCATCTGTTGGCTACCTTATAACATCATTTTAATGATTGATGTTATCACTGCTGAACATGAGCTCATTTCGTGGCAGGTTTGGGATATGGCTAATTATCTTCTTTGGCTTAATTCGGCTGTTAATCCCATTTTGTATGCTTATACGAATGTTTACTTTCGCCGGAGCTTCTATAATATTCTTAGATGGTGTCTATCACCTTGTTGCACATTGAAAAGAGGACGTTTTTAGTTGAATCCTTATTTGTAGCTTACTATAAGACATATTCCCACAATTCGTCTGTATTAACCATCATTTCTAATGGTCATTTTAGAATTCTCTGAAACAAAATGTTTGTCTTAGAGGTCTATCAAAATCAATAGCCAGTAGCACACCGGGAATAGCCTGAGATACACTGGGGAAGGGCCCGTCGCTTAGTGAACAAGTGAATTAAGGATACGTTTGTGCTTTTAACAAAAATTAAACTTCATTGGTTTCACTCCTGTAAGTTTTTTTATGTTCGGCAGTATAGTTGTTATTTAGGGCCAACATGTATAATAAGCCGTTCATTACTCTTCAATATCGGTCAGATTTTATGTATCTGAACTATCTCTGATATCAGACATAGCAATAACAATTTACAGTCTTGAAGTAATTTATATCAAATTTGAGATCACCAGATGTTTATTATTCAGCTAGATAGTTTAAAAAGAAATAAGATGTTGGAGAATGTCTTCGATAATTCATATTTCCCAAAAGAAAGTAGTCGCAAAATTTGCTTTAATCAGCAAAATGACGATGAAACCAATGTAGGCCTTAGTTGGCCTTTATTTACGAAGCATGGTTATAGGCGGATAAGACGTAAAAATAATGCCAGAATATTCTAATTCCTTACTTGAACTACATGCATATAATAAAACATTGAGAAACTGATGATCTTTTGAAAATTTGAAATATATTGCCAACACTGTGTAACTTTAAACCGAAAGGTCCACTGATTAATCTCAGATAAGATAGTATAATACATACTCCAAGTATCGAAATGCACGCCATCGTGTCGGGATTCAATATATTGACATTAATTATGTCATCACCAGGAAATTATGATAACATAACTAATGTCGAAATATTGAATCCCGACAAGATGGCGTACATTTCGATACTTGGAGTATGTATTGTACTATCTTAACTGTGTAACTTTAGTCTTGAAATTAAGAAAAAGCTATAATTTACACTTACTTTTGAAGGTTGACTGGAATGTATAAAATAATATTTTATGAAAACGTATTTTTGTAAATTGTATATAGTAATAATTATATATATATACATTAAAATATACATATACCGGTACACATACACACACATATATATATATATGTGTGTGTGTGTGTATGTATATGCTTGGAAGAATAAGATTATAACATAAAAGTAGAGTAAAATAACACTATGAGTACAGCGATTTGGATATACAGTACCGTAATTGATTATCGTTCAATATTACCGTTTGTGGCTCTTATTGATACAATAAAGTTTCATAATTAGTTCTGGCTATCAAATACACATTATTTTTTATTTAATCCTCGTTCAATTTTTTTTTTATCGAATACCGTACTTATATGCATGGACTACTAGGATACTAAGACAATTATAATTTGTATAACCTTGTATATATTGCATTTTATAACTGTAATTGTGAGGATTTTTCTATCAGGGACAGATGCAGTAGGGGCACGTGGCCCCCTCGTTTTCCACTAAATTTTAAAATTTCAAGGTATATATTGAAATTAGCGCTCTCACTCATTTATTCTGAATGTTGTGCACCCCCTTCCGACCCGTTTGAAAAATTCTGGATCCGCCCCTGTCTATCTAAGTAGGCCTAGTAATTAGAATTAAAGCTTTAGTAATCGTGCTTGGATAGTCTTCAAACTCGGTGCAAGCGAAGATCATATAAGAAAGATGTGCCCATTAAATACGACGTCATTCTAGCATATTTTTAATATTAATAAATTGGTATTAATAAACTTTTATGTTAATGGAATTTGCTATTGTTTTTGATGTTTTTTTGTCTATTACAAAACTGTATTCGTTACTGTCTATAATGACCAGCAAATTAGGCCTACTATAAGCCTACAATAATTCCCATCAAACAAAGCAACGAGATACAGTATCTCAAATTTATAGTCAGATAAAAAAAACTTACAAACTGCATTCTAAACTATGTACTGAGCAGCAAAATCTAGTACAGTAATTCCATCGAAAATATTTAAGTTGACAGCCTGCACTAAACATGTAGAGCTTATTGCTCTCTAGTTCACCACACATGTTCACATATGTGTTCATGACACTAAAAACGTTGAGCGGGCAGTTAATAATCTGGAATCAGGATTTGAAATTGCCTCGACCTGCTTACGTTAAACTCCAGTTAACGTAAAAGAATGGTTTTTTTAAATAATTAGTTTGCTATTTTACTATGAGCCATAATGTGAACAAATGTCCGACAGCCACTCAAAATCCACCATGCACTTAACAGAAGAATGCTTAAAAACAGTTTTATCAAAATATATATATTTTTTTATCTATTGTGCTCGAATCCTTGCGATGGATGTCAATTTTGAGTAGAACTTTTAAATATTTGGAGATTTTTCCCCTGAACAAATTTAGTTGTTATAAAGGAATTATTAAGAAATTGAGTTAAACCATTAAAGTAGTTACAAAAATATGAAAACATACCATTGAGGCATGTGTAAAGCTTAATTGTATTGATCTGCTGTAGGTCTACAAGTTTCATCATGGAGACTTGCTTACACAATGTATCGGATTAAGGAATGATGTGTATGCCTTGTTCATTACCATGATATTTTATTTGGTTAGATACCATGGCAGGAGAAAATGGATAATGAGGAATGTGAACTCAATTATCTACAACTAATACATACAATTTTCCAAAATTTTGTGACAGTAGGCCTAAATGTTCAAATATTTTTGTGCCGTAGGTGGCTCACTTATACTTTTTTCCGTTGCGATGGTTTGAGTTCAACCACCATCTTCACAATTTCGAGCAAATGCATATTAAAATATTTATATTTACTCTAGAAAGATATTTCAGAGAATAGAATTTGAGTAGGAATATGATATGCCTACCATACAAAATTATTTGGCTTCTAAAGCAAATCAGGGGCGGAGTTAGGGGGGGGGCCGGCCAAGCCCCGGCCACCCCTTTTGGGAGGTAAAAAAAGAAAAAAAGAAGAAAAAAGAGAGAAAAGGAAAAAAATGATAGCCCAGAATGCCTCAAATGTTATGTTCGGGCGTCTAGAACACAAAAATTTCGCGGGGCCATGCCCCGGACCCCCTACGACAGTGTTGTCTCAATCAGCCCAACTTTCGGCCCCCCTTTCGGCCCCCCTTTTGGACATTTCTGGATCCGCCCCTGCAAATAGTACAGTAGATATTTAATGGAACTTTCGCTTCTTTCCCCTGATTTTACACGAATCCTCCTCTTTTATTTTTACCAAATTATTATGTATAGAAAAAAATATATAAATGATGAAACACACGTTCACATACTGGTTATCGTATTAATTTATTCAAATATAAACTATTTTCTCTGTCCTTAATCAAAAGGCCAAAAAAATATATTGTTTGTTTGCCCTTCTGTTTTTTAAAATGATAAAAAAGGGCTGGTGGAAAAGTTTTCTTTTTTTCCAAGATTACTCATCAGAAAGAATAAAAAATAACCTACAGTTGACATCTTCCAATGATAAATGTAGGCCTAGAATGGCAATATCTTACATCAGACAACAACTTTTAAAAACTTTGTAGGGCATCTGGCAAAAAATAAAGATCAATTCACTCACATTTGTTTTTAATTTGTAAAGAAAAAAGTTAAAGCTTTTTATTTTGCCGCCCCTATTTTTTCAGTGAGTTAGGGGTGGGTGAGGAGGGCAGACAAACATTTTCTAGGCCTAAAATAAGCTACAGTTTGTATTTTAAATATCTTGATGGGGATTAATATAATATAATGATAACATAGCATGCTGCACGTGATATAAGCAGAACAATAAAATAATATTGTATATAGAAAAATATTGAGTGATTGGACAGGCTAGTTAAAGCTTACGTCCCGAATATTATAAAGCTGTATGTATATAGCCGAACATTTCAATTTAGCTGGCCATTCAATTTCAAATTTCAGAGTGATTGCAATTGACCATAATGCCAGTTGGAGCGACAAAAATCGCAAGGATAAAGAGAATCACTGGGAACTTTTACTTAAAACAACCACACCATTTGGACTCAATATTAGGAACGTTCTCCCAATACACTAAATTAAACCAATGGCATTTCAATTTATTCTGGATAAATCATTTGGCTTATTTATTGAGGCTTGCCTCTAAAGTTTAGTTTTGGCCTTCCTGTTTACCTGTTTAGGCTGTTTATTCTAATCTCACCCAGCCTATTGTTTCCAATTATGCTTGCATGAAATTCTCACTTTATACCATCTAGCCTTTTCTACCCTCACTCACTCGCCACTGAGGAAGAACTAG